CACCGGGTGTTGCCATAAATATATTTTCAATTATTTGTTTGATGTATTTCCAATGCGGTTTTATTTGTTTTTTTATCGTATATGATGCATATTTGTGTCCTTTACAATATGTATACAGTAGTGTGTTCATAATGTTCCATGGAACTGTGATACACGTGTCAGTAATGTGTCCACAATAAATGTTTATTGTCGCAATATTACATGTTAAAAATTCACTAAAATTACAATATGTACAGTTTCACACACTATTTACACAGTAACATACTGTATTACACACTTAGTACTTCAGAAGTGAGTAATAATCAATGAAGTAGTCCATGGTACACAGTGCGGCTTCACTCTCGTTGCACCAGGTACAGATAGATTTTCGCTTCCTGTTTCTTCGAGCCGTGTGCTTGCAAATAACGCACTCACATATACCCTTGGCATTAGTACCTGTAGGTGGTATGTAGCCAAGCTTGTAAAACATAAGGTAGTTTTAAAAAGATTACAGGAAAAGATCAATTTGTAAGGTAGTCATGAAAAGATCACTTTGTAAGGCTGAATCTGGCTGAATCTCTTCCCATACAGGAAGAGATTCAGCCAGCCTCAAATAGTGTCCGTCAGTCTGGAAGAGATTCAGCCAGCCTCAAAGAGTGTCCATCAGTCAAGAAGAGATTCAGCTATTCTTGAAAATATCTACAGAAAACACCACCATTGAAGCCACCACGACATTGAAGTAGCATAGATGAACACTGTTCATCTATGCTACTTGTATCAGATGCATTATCACTGAACGCAGAAAACGATTCATCTATGTATCATCTAAATAAATTGGAGATAGCAAGGGTGGCACTCAGAGCTACAACTGGATATGCTCACTGTATTGTCCTCATAGGTGCTGTATCATTTGCATCCAACCTGTGTTAGGTCCTTATTGCGCCTAGCTTCACCAATATTACAACCCCTTATGTTTTTCAAACAATAAAGTTTGAATTTCACCGACAGAGCGTGATCTTTCAACACTGCGTCGGAAAGGCGTTTGGGAGCCAGAGGCGCGCGTGCGCCACTCATGGTTGCTCACTCAGTACTAACCCAGCCAGCAGCCCTAGAGCATTCTGGTTATTTTTTCCAAGATGGCTGCCTCTCACTGGAGGTCCTAAGAGTCCATTTTGTACACAACCAACCTCACACACATTTAGAATGGGTACAAAAAAATCAAAGAGTTTTCTCAGTTGGCACAGTATCCCACCGACCGAGAATATTCGGTTGGCACAGTTAAGTGGTTAAAAGGCACTAGATATCACTTAAGATGCCAATATGAGAACGAAAAGACATGGGGGCAAATGATCACCAAAGGTGCTTTTTGAACCACAACTACCATAATTCTTATTTCCACACTCACTATAAATAAAAAATATAATTTAAAACAGAATCTTCAGTTTACTTTGTTGTAGTTTGTTTTCTCTTGTGATACTGTAGCTCTTAAAATGTGTAGTTCTTCGAAATTTATGCAACCTAATTTCCAGTTATCCAAATTTTTGTTCAGATATGGCAAAGTTTTGCCATAAAATTATTCTGATTTGAGAGAGACTGTGCCAGTCTGCGTTATCTGACCAAATCTCAGGTTATCCAAATTTCTGTTCGGATATGGCAAAGTTCGGCTGAAAATTGCCCTGACCTGATTTTGGCTGGATAACCCAAATATTCAGCTCAGTGGGCTTCAAATAACCAAATTCATACAGTAATTCAGCTCATACAGTAACAGTGGAACCAAGGCTCCACTGTATATATACAATATTAGTACAGTACAGCATAGTGAATCGAGATCCATAAAAAATGAGGACTTGGGAGGGTGTTCAGATGGATGAGTGTTCATATAGTGGGCATTTGTATAATGGGGACTCCCTGTATTGCAAATCCAATGAATGAGTCCCTGTCTACTTCCCATTCTATAAAAATTGCATGAAAGAAAGAAAGAGTAGCCATTTGCTAGAACATTGGAAATCTCCCAAATGTGTACTACATAGAAGACAAAACACCTAGAAATCTAAAAAATGCTCTTCAGAGAATCCAACTTTACAGGAAGAGAGAGCAACCTATCGCTTTCTACTGAGCCAATCGGAAAAATGAAGTGCTATCTGAGTGAAGTCAAATCAGAGTCCTACAGAAGAGTTATGTGACAGTCTGTATATTTCTATAGTTTTAACCTCCTCCTGCATAAATAGTTGGGAAGCTTTTGAAAAAATAAATTTATGACATCTTACAGACATGTAAACTTGTTCCAAGTAGTTATGTTTTTTCTGCATACTTTGTAAAATCAACCTTAATTTACCAACATTGTCATTATTTAATTATACACCATAAAGGTAAACCTTTATTTGCATATACAATACAGATATAGAATATTTCAGTCATTTAAAGGCTCTTGTCTACAACATGTCTATAAGTTGTCTACAACATACACAAGCTACAATGAGCCCTTGTTTACCGAGTGTCAGGTATCAACAGTACAGTTTTATTAACTTATGTTAATGGATCACGGGTCAACTGCTGTGGACTAGTTCATCAGGCAACACTTATTAAATTATTATCTGAAAATGTTCCATTTTCAAGGCCTGTGGGAGCAGGACTGATATACTACTACAAAAACCTACTTAATACTAGCAGCTTGAATGCTTTTCTAATTTTCTAAAATGTTATTTTCTGCTCTCTAGTTTGAAAATGTTCTATTTCACACTATGATTTATTGGGCATTTAACTCATCACCAGTCCTCTAATAACCCATGATTTATGACTATCTTACCGAGTAACTCTTTTAAATGACTCATCAGTATTTTTTTTTTTTTTGTGCTGCTCAAAATTTTCTATGAGATTCTATTGTCTATGGACAATGTTTGCCATTCTTCTATTAGCCAACTTGTGACGTGTCTTGTCATGGGAGCCGGTCGGCCGAGCGGACAGCACGCTGGACTTGTGATCCTGTGGTCCCGGGTTCGATCCCGGGTGCCGGCGAGAAACAATGGGCAGAGTTTCTTTCACCCTATGCCCCTGTTACCTAGCAGTAAAATAAGTACCTGGGTGTTAGTCAGCTGTCACGGGCTGCTTCCTGGGGGTGGAGGCCTGGTCGAGGACCGGGCGGTGGGGACACTAAAGCCCCGAAATCATCTCAAGATAATCTCCCTACAATTATAATAATTTTGGTAATCTTATCTTTGTTTTAGTCACAATCGATTTGAGAATGGTCCAGGACGGACCGAAACGTCATCGTCCCTTCAATTTCTAGTGTGTGGTCTGGTCAACAACTTTGTTTTAGTCGTTTTCTATCAATCCTTCTCAAAATGCTTCCCCTCATTGGGATCATAAAACTATTACTCAAGTCAAATGTTTCCTTAACCTTACTATTATGAGTTATGATTTTCCTGATTTCCTCAGGAATGTTCAACTTGGCCATAACACTTGCCATTTCACAGGCTACCAGTTCAACAGCCTCCTCCTCCTTGGTAATCTGCAAATAACTACCTTTCATTTTAATCCTATGTTTATAAATTCTTCTGTTACATCTAGGATTTGCTTGCCTTTGCTTACCCTACTATTTTATAAGGGTCTTTGATTGGCGATATTTCATTTTTCAGAACTTGTTTGTCCAAAGAATGTTCCCTAATTGCAAACTTAATTTTAAATTCTAGCTTAAACCCTCACTTTAAAGTCTGTTTGTAACTCAATCCTGACAGTCTTCCAACTTTTGGATCCTAAATTTCAGTTGAGTTACATCGGAACTCACCTAATGAAAATCCATGGATACCTGTTCATTTACCAGTCTTTTCAATTTATCATCACTCAAAAACTATATTTTTTCTCTTAACTGGATTTCAATGAGATAAAATCAATTCAAAAGATCTAAAAGCCTTCTACGTTGGCTTCATTGTCAACATAGAAGGCTGCATCCTTGTAATTAAATATGACTACCCTATGGGCACAGAGAAAAATGGTTACAACTCACTTTTTCATACTATTGTTCTATTTGCTTGCAATATATTTTCCTGCATGGAATAAGTACAGTGCAGCCTCCATTCAATGAACCTCATTTCAGCAAACTTCAGGTACAACACATGCTTTCAAGGCTGAATTTACTTACCCGCTTTGCTGAACAATAGTTAATAGTTAATCATAGCACGGTATGTGCAGATTTGCTTAGGATGCAGGATGTTTGCTGTTTCACTTTAGTTTACACAATGTGTGGAATAAATAATTTATTTACACATACAGTACTTGAAAAAAGTGATCAAATACAGTGATAGGCCTACAATGTAATATGTTCAATACAGTTATATTACATGTAAATCCGTTTCTGACACAGCTGAAAATGTCTTGCAGGCCACACTTTTATTGCTATTCAGTCTGGTAATGTCATCCAGAAGGAGATTCAAACTCCGATGGGAAATGCCAAATTGTGATTTGATAAGCACATTATTTGTAGTACCGTACAAGATAACATCAACATGATGATAGCTGTACTTTAGGAGTTATAAACAAATTCTTCATCTAATACCTGAAAAATATCTAAAGTTATGTGTAATAAAAAGATGAAAATCAAAGGGCATTTTCATGAATCAAGTGCACATTATACAAAAAAGGGGTAAATTTCTTCTACCATTCAGCAAAATGAGCATGCATTAATGACATGCAAACAAAATGAAAATAAAGTTAGAAGAAAAACAGTTGAGAAAATATGTTCAATGAGGATATATGAATAATAGGAATGAAATCATGCATATAAAGAGTGCTAGGTTTAACAGAAGCACCCTGATAAAACTTTTACAACTTTCTTACTTACCAAATTCAGCATGCTTTCTCAAATGTAAGGGCCCTATTAACTAACAAAAATAATGGGAATTCCTAACTCTGACCATTCTCCTCTCAGCCTCCTCTCAAAAAAATTAACTGTGGTAAAAATTTAAGAATGTAAAGCTGCATAATTGTTTTCCTCTATAATTCAATTAATCAAAATAATAAATTACCGAGAGTCATCTTCATCCTCATTGGTGGAAGTGGATGCAGCTGAGGGATTCCTCTTCTTTATGCTTCCCCCATCTAATGACTCATCCTCGGAGCTCTCATCATCATCTAGAAGTAGTTAGGACAATTCAAGCACTTCAAAGTCCATTTATAACATGAGGTAGTGTGAAGCAAATTCCAATGTAACTACTGCTTATAATGGAGAGAATTCTAGTCTTCAAATATGATGTGAATATGCCTGAATTATTATATAAAACTACACTTTGTTTAATAGATTCCCATTTAGTTTCCTTCTGCCTCGTTTTATTGCCCCTTTAAAACCCTAATACACTTGCCTTGTCAGAATATTCTCAACTACCAAGCATACAGGAGGTACCCATTTAGGAGGTACAGTACTGTAGATCACAAGCATCGTGAGAGTACTGTATGTGCAAACTGTGTGCATTTAACATGCAAGGAGCTTATATTGGCTTTATGCATGTGAGAAAGTATATGTTTAAAATGCAAGTTTGCAAAAAAAAAAAAAAAAAAAAAAAAAAAAAAAATATTCCTTTATATCCACTCTTCTAGGAATTGCAGTTCAAACTGAGAGTTGTTCACAATTAGCTCGGTTAATGAATTACAGATATTAATGTGTAATGTAATAAAGATGTAAGCTGCACAGAACCTCTGCATTGAATAACTGCCGTACTAAATTTTACGAGAAAAACTTTACCAATGGAAAAATATTATAAAATACAGTATTGTAATAAGGAGCTAAGCATTTTAAATACTTTATTTTCTAATCTAAACAATTTAAATAATTAAGAAAAAAAAAAGTTTTCTAACACATAAGAAAATTAAGCATTTTCTTTCTACGTTTAACATTTACATGTATCTAAATACTGCTCTGTACTGGTAAGTAATCAAATAATAATTTACAGCCTAATGCGACCGACTCAACATATACTTACCACTCGGGTCTCTCTTGAGGAAGAAGTGTTAATATAATTGATAAATACTTTACTGTACTGTCCATATGCTAGTTTACAATGTAAACTAGCATATGGTAATATGTAAAGTAATATACAGCCATTTAAAAAGATAATAATACTTACATTAAAACACAGCTGAAGGGCTACTCTTATTCTCAAAATACAGAAATATAAAGCAAGACAATCCACAAAACTGGCATCTTAAAGAAGGTGCTACTGTATATACAAAATAAATGACAAAGTATAAAGAATAACATTAAGAGACACACACACAGTTGACATGTACAAAAATTAACAGACAGACAGAAACAACAGTGTGTATATATATGCAAGAATATACTGTACTGTATACTGAAAAAAGGTATAAAATGACACATTGAACACTTAATAAGAACACGTGAATAAAAATAAGTACTGTAATTGAATTTCAATATGAATGCACTATGTGGGATATGAAAAACAATATTTATACAGTACTATAAAGAGGAACCAATTATACATGTTAATTGAGGCAAACCATAAATGTACATAAGCATGCAGTCAATAGTGTTCTAACTCGAAACCTGCTGCACTGTACAAAACACAGAGGTAGTGTTATCTTGAGATGATTTCGGAGCTTAGCATCCCCACGGCCCGGTCCTCGACAAGGTCTCCTTTTTGTTACACACCCTCAGGAAGCACCCCATAGAAGCTGTCTAACTCCCAGGTACCTATTTACTGTTAGGTGAACAGGAACATCAAGGTGAAAGAAACTCTGCCCATTTCTTTCCGCCTCCACCGGGGATCGAACCCGAAACCTCAGGACTACAAATCCAAAGCGCTGTCCACTCGGCTGTCAAGTGGTCAGACCTGGTCAGGGTCCCCCATAGCCTGATCAGAGACTAGGCTATGGAACCCTGACCCACATCCTCAATGCAAGGTAGCCTTTCATACAGCCAAGCAGCCTTTGGCAGCAGTACTTGACTGCTTTCATGAATTATTCTACCCGGGTACTACCGCTCGTCTTCAGTCACTCCAAGATAAAGCAGTCCATCACCTGGTAGTTAGTGATACCTTTGGCAAAACATATGTCTGTGTATGAGTTCAAGCCTATTTCTATCCATTATAAGCTATTTCCTATTATTAAAGAATTTGCAAGTTGGCACATTCAGGTCACTATCACAAACCAGGAAAGATAGGAATGATTCTTCCCTAAAATTTTTCTATCTACGAACGCACTTGTGGATTCTTTCAAATGCCTAGGCAATGCATAGTGGGAACAAAATGGGAATTAAAATAAAATAAAAGGCAGCTTGGAGTTATGATTGGTGAAGGGAGTTCATTCAAGCAATGTTAGTGTTAGAAATGTCAGAACAATTTTGGTAGTAAGAAATTAATTTACTTCATTGCACAAAACAAAAGCTAAGCATTAACACATTTATACCAATTATTGTTTTTACTTTGTGTCTGGAAATAAACATGAAAGAATATAGGTCAACTTTTTGATGTAAGGGATTGGTTATGCTGGTAATGAATATAATTATTTAAATTGAGAAACAAAAATTCATATGCCAAGCCCCTAAGCAGGTTCAAAGCAAGTACCCAATGCCTCTCACACTAAAATGGTTAAGATTCAAATGTAACCTGGTACATACATTAGGTAATATGCTATTAAAATAATTGAAGAAAACAGGGAAGATAAACTGAAACTCAAAAAAATCATCCTCATAATTTAGAACGTTTATACTAAATGACAGAACAATTTTGGTAGTAAAAAATTAAGTTACTTCATACAGACATACATATTACACAATTACAATCGAGTCTAAAAGCAATATTTTCTTCACTGGTCCATGTTGCTACTTTGAGCGAATAGCTGAAAGTGCTAGGAAAAACCACTATGAACTATCTCCTTCCTGAATCCTCTCTTGTCAACACTAATTATTCTCAACAGAATACACCTTCTTAACTATCTCATTCCATTTTAAACTTGTACATGGTAAGTATGACGTAACTGAGTCTAGGTCAACAACCTGGTTGACTGTGCTTAAAAAAGGGTTAATTTAATTCTTAAAAGTTACTTTATAAAAATAGTCTTTAAAATGCATCTACAATTTAAAAATGAGAGTACTGTACTAATAAATGGGAAAACAGGGTTCAATATAAGGAATTTAACTCTACAGAAATCTTTTCAGGAATGTAACAGTTCTGCATAATACTTGCATTATTTGTTTGACTAATTTACTACCTTAATTAATCAAAGTAAAACCTGAACTAACCATAACAAATGTCTATAAAGAACTGCTAATGAAAAATTGAGAGGCATTATGATGCATAAGAAAACATTAGTATGGAAGGCTAGTGAAAACAAAAAATTAATTGTATTTTTGTACAACAGATCACAAATGAAATGCTGAAGTTAAAATGACTGCAACTAATTAGTACTTGAGAAAGAAACTTGTGGGAAAACATGCACAGCTGTATAAGCCTCATATGATACAACTTCTTAAATGTGTAGCAAACAATAATGATGTACAGACGTTTAAGAATCTGCTTACACATATACAGAAAACATGTAAGTGAGACAGGGTATGCCCGATATGAATCTACCGGGTAATTTAATTTCATATACAAACAGAAATACAGATCTACAAACACCACATTAACAATGGCATAATTCAAGAAAAAAATTGAATGCCCAAGAGAGAAAAGGAAATAATAATGGCGGAAAATATTCTTAAATTGGTCAGTGATGAACAAGGTAGTTATCACAAAGAGGTTATGTGGATCAGATAGTTTTATTGAAAACCAATAGAAAAAAATTTGCTCAATAGCCCAGCATGCTATTGAGCATAGTGTCATAATAATTTTCAAGTTCCTTGAAAATGCCAACACTAGATTCAGGATGCTAATGCTAGAGCAGCAAAATATAAAAGGAGTTACGTCAAAGGACCCAGATTTGCTGAGAATCATATTTGGTGACATGACTCAAAGGAACAGTGATAAACAGTAATAAAAAGAGCCCTCAACTCATAGCAAAACAATAAAATTCTGGCAGTAAGGTGAATGTCTCCGTTCTATTAAATGCTTATTAGTGTTGGTAACAGGTGGGACACAGGATAGGTCACATCTGATAGTAAATAAGTTGCTATTCATAATAGCTAACCATCTATCTTTCCAACCATTGCCAATTGCACTATGAATAAAAAGACAGAAATCAGAATAAAGAATTTACTTCTGGTAAATTCCAGAGCAAATCTGTCTTAAAGGGGTTAAAAGATTCCAGCACCATGAGAGCACTGAGAGTCAATGGGAACAAATCATCATTTGCACCAGAAAAATACCTTTCTCAGAGCACACAACTGTAAAAAGCCAGTGTTGAATGTAATGTAACACCCTTTTCTGGGGGTTAGCCCCAGAGACTCCCTGAAGCTATCTGAACTGATGTGCGCTATATTAGTTTGGGGTCATCAGTGACAGGAGTTCTTTAGGCCTACCGGGGACAATGAGACAGAACCTGGCCCTCCTCCGAGAGATGCAGGGAGCAATGGCATAAGAGCACTTTAAATGTAAAGCGTGTCATATTCTGCCATCGACCAGAACAGTTATCCAGAAATATAGGTGAACCAAAACAAACCACTAGCCAGTAAAATTGCTACCTACTTGCAGAAAGTGAAGTGAAAAGAAACTCCGGCTGAACGAAAAGAAACGAGTAACTTTACCCTCAACTAGTACTCCCACTCGTTAGCATAACCACCCCCCCCCCACCTCACAATAAGGGGAGGGGGAGCCGGGCTGGCCTCTCATCACCTCAGTTCGAGGCCTGATAGAAAAAATGGCAACTGGGGAAAGAGAGGGGGGTGTCATAAGAGCCTCCAGGGCTATCCCCAGAAAAAATAATTTCATTATCATACAATAATGGGTTTGCTGAGGGGAAACCCCCATCGGCTCCCTGAAGCTAACTACCTACAGAGAAGAAAAAACCAGGGACTTACCCAGAAGACGGCAACGCCGCAGGACTCGAGTCGAAGAAGAGACTGACGGCCACCATCACAGAACCAAAAGAGCGTCCACCATCACAGAACCAAAAGAGCGTCCACCATCACAGAACCAGTGGCTCGCAGGTAGGGGCAGAAAGCCACCACCGGACAAAAC